CTGCAGCTCTAGTACAGAGTGACCCGATGGCGGAATTGAGAGATCTGGTGGGTTCTCTGGCCACCTCCAGTGCAAATAAGTTCAATAACATTGAGCAATTCATGGAGAAAGCTTCAGGCAAATTCTTGGAGCTAGAATCTGGTCAGAGAAACACACAGGCTGTGCTGCGAGATATACAGACCCAGCTTGGGAGTGTTGCCCAGGCTGTCGCTCAGAGGACTCCAGGTACCTTGCCTGGTCAGACAATCCCTCACCCGCAGGGCCCTAATGCCAACTGCAGTGCCATCACAACCAGGAGTGGCAAGGTGACTGCCGATCCACCTGTTCGGGCAGAGGAGAGAGAGACCCCTGCTTTAGCACTTCCAGCTAATCAGGAAGAAATGGAGAAGGAGGTTGAGGTGCCTTCTCCTAAACCGCAACCAGTGGTGAAGGAGTATGTACCACAGCTTCCCTTTCCTACTCGGTTGCACAAGGACCGACTGGAGACTGAGTTTGCCAAATTCATGGCAATGCTGAAGCAGGTAAACATTAGCATGCCCTTCATGGAGGCATTATCGAAGATGCCCAAGTATGCCAAGTTCATGAAGGATCTCCTCACCAACAAGAGGAAGCTTGGGGAGCTGTCAACGGTGATGCTCAACGAGGAGTGTTCTGCCATCCTGCAGAACAAACTACCGAAGAAGCGAAAAGACCCAGGGAGTTTCACTATCCCTTGCATGATTGGTAGTTTGCATGTAGGGAAGTCCTTGGCGGATTTAGGCGCTAGCATAAATGTCATGCCATATACACTGTTTAAGAAGCTAGGCCTAGGTGAACCCAGTAATACTAGGATGAGCATCCAGCTTGCTGATAGATCCATTGTGCATCCTAGGGGTATAGCAGAGGACTTGATAGTCGCAGTAGGGCCATTTTCATATCCTGTTGATTTTGTGATTTTGGACATAAATGAGGATGTTGATGTGCCATTGATACTGGGTAGACCTTTTCTCACCACTGCCAAGGCGCTTATTGATGTTAATGATGAAAAACTGATTTTGAGAGCTGGGGGTGAACAAATCACCTTCTCTGTTTCTGATAATATGAAACACCCCCAGCTCCATGATGATCTAGATTACTGTGATGTTGTTGCTGATTTTGAGACCGCACTCGCCATCACGAGTGCGGGTACTGATGATTTCCTTGAGCGTTGTCTTTTGCTAGGGGAACAGGCATCACAGGATGTGCAGCTGGAGGAGCAGCTTGCAGAGCTGGACGAGGCTGCGAGCGAGGGGCGAGAGATACCATTCAAGCCGATCCCCATCTCGCCCCGGCTCTCTACATCATTGGAGGAGCCACCAGAGTTGGAGCTTAAACCCCTCCCATCTCACCTGGAGTATGCATTTCTCCGGGAGGGGAATAAGCTCCCAGTTATTATTAGCTCGGATCTGACACCCGAGCAGGAGAGCAGGCTGGTGGCTCTGCTGCAGAAGTATGCCCGGGCCATGGCATGGAAGATCACCGACATCAGAGGCATTAGCCCATCTTTCTGCTCCCACAGAATTTTGATGGAGGATGAGGTTAAGCCAGTCAGGCAGCCACAGAGGAGATTGTCTCCTAACTTGGAGGCAGTGGTCCGGGCAGAGATCGTGAAGCTCATGGATGCAGGGATCATCTTTGCTATATCCGGTAGCAAGTGGGTCAGCCCCACTCAGGTGGTCCCGAAGAAAGGCGGGATGATTGTGGTCCCGAATGAGAAGAAGGAGTTGATCCCGATGCGGACCGTGACCAGCTGGAGAGTCTGCATCGATTACCGGCGCCTGAACGACGCCACCAGGAAAGATCATTTTCCCCTACCTTTCATGGAGATCCACCCTATGGACGAGGGGATCGCCTGCTGCTGCTGGTGGTGGCTGCTGTGTAGGGTGCTGGAGCGCTCCGCACCGCCAGCGGCCGGGTGCACGAGCAGGTGGCTACTCTGATGCTGGCGGGACCTCGGGGTCAGGACTCAAACCCCCAATGAACCGCACTGGGCCAAAGGTGCGCAATAAGCACATGGAGTGCAGAGTTCCCTCCTCAAATCTCTGGGTGCGCCCCTCTTTCGAGCACCCTACAAGGCTGATATCGAAGTATCTAGTAAGATGGGTGATGTACGGACCCATTGATGTGACATAAAGACGGTTTTCCCCACTGGCCCTGGCAAAAGAAGTGGCCATGACTGAACCCAGGAGCACAGTGCTAGACCAGTCCGCCATGCAAGAACAAGCCAATAAGATTCTCTCGGTTATCTTATTCGGGTTGTGGTAAGTCGGGTAGAGAGAACTAGCTAGGAGTGCAACCATGACACGCCACTGGGGCTAAAGTGTGGATGTCGTTGTGAGGGCCGACTTGAACTTTTTCCTTCGGTACTTTGGAACACAAAACTTCAGAAATGAGGCATTCATGTCAAAAATTCGGATGGCATCTACCTCCCACTCGTCCTCATGTCTGGCTTCCACTGTGAGGGCTCTGGCTAACTCGTTATAGATCAAATTGTGAGGTTCCCCTCCCAATCGGAACTCGACCCGGCGTACTGGATGACAGAGTAGGCATATGCTCTTGCGTATGGTGAATGACTCGCACGAAACTACACCACAAATTAATCCCGACTAGATTCCAAGTTTTTAAACTCTAGCCGGTGCAGTATAGAGCAAGTATTTAAATTGTCAACCCGGGCCGATCCATGTACCCCTACTTTCAATCGCTTAGGTTGTTATCTAGCAAGCAACATTAGGGTTTAGGTTTATTGGAACTACAAACTAACCAAGCAAAGGAAAGTAAATAAAGGAAAATTCTAACTAAGGGAGCTTCACCCGGGAGTTGCTTCCCCCTAACTAGCTACCGTGACTCGTTGGATTGAATGGAGTCGTGAGGCGTAGGTGGTTGTGAACCGCGGGGGTGAGCAACTAGAGATCAATCTGTTACAGGATCAATTCACTAGCGATCGATTTGTCTCAGGATCGATCCACTCATCAAGTCTAGGGGAACCGCTAGGAGGAGCAACTAGTGATCCATTTCTCACAAGGTGGATTCACTGGAGTTCGATTTATCACGGGATCGATCCTCTCACTCAGTCACTAGTGGTTTCCTAGGTCTCTCCCTCAAACTGGAGTTTGAGCGGTGTAATCACAACCAACCTAGATGCAAACTGGTAACCGAACTGTAGAGGGGTGCAAATTTGGTCGTAAACCACAGTCTCAATTGCTAGACCGGGGTAAGAATTAAAGGTTGTGCCACTCGACCCTCTCGGTTTAGACAATCGGTAGTTGACTTACTCCCTCACTGAACTCAAAGGTCGGACGGTTTAATCACGACTACCAATTTTCTTAAGTCGTCATTGAGGGTTGCCCTAACTTAACCTAGTTAGGTGGCTTAGAAAGCGGAAGGAAAACCAACTCAATTGAGTCTCCCTTGGAAGGGGGATTTTCCTCTCTATGCTAGGCTAAGGTGGCTAGTTAGATTGCTAGCACCTACATGCACAAACCTGAGGGTGCTAAGCACAATTATTCACAATCCTTAGGTTGCTAAGCACTGAAATGCACAACCTAAGGATGCTAAGCACAAAACATGCACAACCCCTAGGTTGCTAATCACAAGCATGCACAATCATGATAAATAATACCTCAATCATTGAATTAACCAATACCCAATGACAATCATTTAATCTAAACAAGTAATTACAAAGTATTAGTTAGGGACCTACAACACCCAAGAGAAAAGAGTGAGTTTCTAGAGAGAGAGAGGGATTACAAATTTGAGCTCAAGATCTTCTCTAGGCTTGAATCTTCTACCCAAACCTCCAATGAGGCTCCAAGATCACTCTAGCACTCTCTCTCTCTCACTAGAACTCCCCTTTGGTGTTTTAGGTTGAAACCCTAGTTAAAAAAGGGTTTCTTCTCCAAAAACCAACTCTCTTTCTCTCTCCTCGTTGTTGTCTTCATATTTGCCCGAAAGCGATCAGTTCACGGCCGTGAACACCTAAACGCGTCCGTGAACTCAGCATCATCCGAAACGCACCGCTTCACTTTCCTGGGTTTACGGTCAATGGCCACAGTTCACGATCTTAGAGACCGTGAACTGCTTGTCCGACAATGAACTACGGCTGTTTCCTGGACTCCTTCCCTTCACTTCAGACTTTTCTTCGGTTTTTACTCTTTTTGACCTCCAATTATCCCAAAATTCGACCTCGACCCTTTCACACATGCTAGGACCTGAAATGTATAAAAAAAGCACAACCTAACGTGAAATATGTCGAAGAAAGATGAAATGCTAAGCTAAACGGATAAGAAATGAGGGGTAAAATGTTTACATTTCGGCCCGAATCACTCCCCCACACTTAGACGTTTGCTTATCCCCAAGTAAACCATTCTCAACTTGGGTAATATTTCAACCTACAAAGATAGCTAGGGGACATTTCAAAAGGCACAAGGCTGCGAATCTCAAATGACTATTTGGGCATCGACACTCGAATCGTCTCAAACAATTCCGCCACCCACCACAAATGACATTCAATTGCATAAAAAATGGGCAAATGAAAAGTTCTCATTCTATCCACAATCAATGCAAGTCTCAACTGGGCCACTAATTAGTTACAACCGACCATGCATAGAACTCAAGTTAAAGGAACAGACAACGGGGCAACATAGGTCCTCACCGGGATAGATATGAACATGCAAGAACAAGAATGAATCGCTCCCTCTCGACCAGTGGGTGTAACATCCCATTTCGGGGACGAAATCTTTTAAGAAGGGGAGAATTGTAACATCCCATTTCGGCAAAATTCATATCTCGATCGCTAGAAAATTTCACGATTTAAAATCGAGCATTTTGACAGTATTTCGCCGAAAATCGAATTATCGATCGGATAAGTATATGTATTAATTAATTTTATATATATATAATAAAAGAGGCGGTCGGGGGCCATATATAATTCCCCCTCCGACCATTTCTTTCCCATCCATTTCATTTTGTTCTTTCTTTTTCTATTCACGGAGCGAGAGCAGACGCAGAGCGCGGATAGTTCAGGGAAGCTTCTGTGGAAAATCTCAAGAGCTCAATTCTTGACCATAAGTGATCCAATCATCCCGTAAGTAATGCCTAATTCATCTATACATCGTGATTTATCGATTTAGAGCTTTAAAATGAGATTTTGGTTCAGGAATTTCTTGAATTCCCGATAAGCTAAATTAGGGTTTCGGAGTATCCGGAAGCCGGATTGAGCCCAAATTTCATATACGAGCTTCCTGCGGCGAGGTAATCAATCCTCTAGTTCTAATCCCTGAATTTCAGCAATTATTTAGGTCGGGGTCCTAATCGCTGAATTTAGCTCCGGCCAGGGTTTGATGTGTTTTTATCGAGAATTCGACCCGGAGCCTAGAACTAATATTGACGGGGATACTGCAGGGGATATTAGGACGGTCTCGGATTTTAATTCGGGGTTCGTTCTTGAAATTGACGTTTTAGTACGGGAAACTTAAACCGGTGTTTGAACGACCAGAACTGGTGAGGGATTAGCACGGCATAACGGGTTTGTCGTATCACGATAATTACACTTATGCCTAGAATGGATCTAGTTGAACTAGAATGGCATGATTAGGGGTGTATGGACTTTTGTGCTATATGATGAACCCTGGACTGTTGTATGATATTATTGACTTGCCCTAATCGATATGGACCTTGTTTATGTTGATAATTGCATACATTTTGCCATTTATGGCTTAACTGTTGATATGACTTCATGGTGGTTCGATAAGGTGTTTTGACATAATGTGATATTATGGTTGTATTTGGATTCACAAGTGGGGGAAATAAACTTCTCAGGGTGATATTATGATGTTTAAGGAGGATGACTTGCACGAGGGTTTATCCCGAGGAAGTGCAATTATACGACTCCTGGTTTACCTATGTTGAGCCAATTATGGCCAGGTCAAGTACATGTGCAAGTAACGAATTATGATTAAGCAAGATGAGATATGAATCATGAATAAGGATACCAAATATGAGTGTTGTGGTCTCACGGTCAACTACATAGTAATTAGGGCTCCCTATGCTATTACTCTATTATGATATGTATGATAGTCACACCTCTCATGTGGTGGTGACTGAAGATTTCTTACGAGGTATGACCACACCCAGAGCGGTGTCGGGGTATGACTACACCCATAGTGGTGTGGGGTATGTATGACCACATCCGACGGGATGTTGGGGTATGTATGACTACATCCGACGGGATGTGGGGTATGTTTCCCGGGAGAGTTAATAGCATGGGAGTAGCCAGGCGCCTATAAGTAAAACATGATAAGATGCATATGCATAAGTCAAGATGGTTGAGTCTTTTGCCTATTGGGATGTCGGATGGCTGAGCTCTGATCCTAGTGCTTGGGCTTATTTGCTAGATGTATGGTAGGGGTATGCTCTGTTATGAACTCACGATGCTATGATTATCTCACTCAGCTATGAGCTGACCCTCTTTATCCTTTTTCTCTGCTTATGCCATGTGTAAGCAGATCATCGTCATCAGCAGCAGTAGATAGTTGTATAGGTGGGAGTTGAGCAAGAGTTGAAGGCAAAATGAGGTATGGTCTTCAACTATTCTGTGCTTGGACTACTACTCGGGATTTTGGCCAGTGATCCACACCTTTTTGTAAAATGTTTTGAGAACGTTTTTCATGTGCATACTAGCTTCTGATGTAGTGTGAGATATCCACGGGTGTGGAAAGTTGATGATATGTGTATATTTGTGTAATTATGTAAGTTGTGACGACTATGATATGTATTAGTAAGGTATGCAGTTGTGGAGTATGAAACTGTGCCTACGGCTATGAAAGCCAATGTATATGGCTGTGAGTATATATGTATGTCTATGAATGCATGGATTTAGATGAATTATTTTGCAGGATTAGATGGAAGAACTGTTAGCCCATTACGCGAGTAATTCATGTCGAAATTTTATTTGGGTAAATTTTGATAATTAATGTAACACCCGAGATTATTTCCGCTGCAATTGTATGAACAATATGATTAGGTAATACGTACAGGGTAGGGTGTTACAGTGGGGTGAGGACCTTTTGGTGCGAAAGATGTGCACAATCGTCATCACTCATCCCTACCATCTCACCACCACGGCGGCAATCTCTAAACGCTAGAGTTCACGGGATAGTTGTCATCACTAGCTTGTCCGGAGGTACTAGACACGAGTTCAGATGACTGGCAATTGTCTTGGACATGGGGAAAAGGGATTTTGGGTGGTGGAAAACACAACATGAGGTTCTGCACCTTCAACCGAAACCCAAAGGTTCTATGGTTTCGACTAAGAACCTTTTGTACAAACCAAGGCCACTAGCATCGGCCAAAATCCTTATCTCTCCTTTCCAAACTATCACCCATCGTGAACTACATTGAAGTGCTCTTCCTCGGTCTACCCTTGCTAGCACATTAAGGTTTGGTAGTGAAGGAGTTCTAAAACAATGTGGGGGTTTCGATGGCTTGGGTGCCAAGAAACCCCCCTAGAGCATGCAATTTGGTTTTTCGTGACACTCTACTTTATCTACCCCATTTTATTGCCTCTTTTTCGTTTCTTTTTTTTTTCTTTTTTTTTTTCTTTTCGAGGGGGGTACTAGAGAGTAACAACACTTGACACCTATACTTTTAACGACCAATGCTCTCTTTTTTAGGAACTAACTCCAACACTACACTTCATTTTTTCTCAACCCTAGCAAGGACCGCAAGCGAACCTCCTATGTAGAACCTCTATGGAAACTCAAAGGTGAGAGCTCCTGGACACAAGGAGGACTCATGTTTAGACACGAAGAAAGGATTGGGGTCGATCTATTAACACCACTAAGCTCACACGCAAAAAACTCCTAAATCGAGAACGACCCACGAAGTCACACGGCTTAAAGGGATTGACTAAGTGATAACACATTTCGGGACAATCAACATTTGGGCGTGGACTAATCCTATGCCTCCATCCTTCTCGCTAACGACAACTGTGATGCTACACACCGAGGTGAGAGGGAACTACCACACTAGAAGAAAACGATCGGCTCAAAGTTCACAAGCTACCTAGCCGCCCAATCGTCTATTCCACATTCACAAACTCAATGCATGGCGATTGTAATCGAAGAGTCACCAAGTCAAGACATCCCATTCATTTAAGCACACATGAGAACTAAGCTTTTGCACAATCCTAATGCTCTCTCAGTCATCTTAATAGGATGCACTCAACTATATGCAACAATTCAAGAACGATACCATATAAGCACGAGATTCACCATCAAATCGACAATTTTGAACAAGCATTGCTTGGAGCCCTCAATTTTTTTTCAAATTTGGGCATATATCAAGGCTCCAAGCATTCAAAATCACACCAACCCTTCACACACACATGCATAATGGACTACCCCCCACACTTAAACTCGACATTGCCCTCAATGGCGTAAAAGAAGGGGATAGAACGATGTTACCGGTCAAGTCGTGAATGTTTGTGCTCGGGAGCAGAGGGCGGGTGAGATACTAAAGAGCAAGGAGACGGCAAAACACCACCAAAATCTCTACAATGGTCTTCTTATTGAATGGAAAAGAAATGCAAACTGTTGATGGTTGGGCTTGGTTGCCTCCCACCAAGCCCTTCTTTAACGTCGTGAGCCGGACGGTTGCTCTTCAAGTTTCGGTCCACCCAAGATCTCCGTGAAGTTGAGGTTCTCGTCGGTGAGGTGATGTCTCAAGTCACGAGCATTGGACAAGTCCATGATTGAGGGCTCGTGAACTTGAGTGGCTTTGAGGCTCCACCCACGAGACCTCTCCTTCTTCCTTCTTCTCCTTGCCCCATACCATGCAATGCTTCATAGATTTACCACCATCGCATCCACCAAGAGGGATTCCGATGGTTTGGCCTTGGCTTGGCAAAGAGACACAAATGGGACCTTCTCCAAAAGTGCATCGAGGTCGGGTGGAAAGCTTTCATAGCCCTCGTAACTTGTGGATGCTTCATCCACCTCGACCTCGTCCTTATCTTGGACTCCACTTGAACCTTCCTTTTCTTCTTCAACCTCCCTTTGGGAACACTCAAGATCTTCCTCCTCTTTAATGCTCGCTTCCACCTCTTCAACCTCTTCTTTCCTCATCTTTCCTCGCTCTTCCGCAAGCAAGCGTTGAATAGCGAGTCTCCAAGCTATGTCTTCGATTGACTCGACACTCATCTCCTCATTCAAAACTTCCTCTTGAAGGCTTGGGGTAAAATGTGGAAGAGTGGTGGCTTCCTCAAGAGGACATTCCAAGTCTCGAGCATCACGGTGGCCATCCGTGACAACTTCCGACCGTTCCAATTCATCCTCGAGGCTTTCCTCTTCATCTTCCTTTTTCACCCTCTTATTTATCCTTCCCTTTCATGTCTTCAAGCACGGTTTGGAGGGAAAGGTACCATGCAAGATCATAGAAAGGATTCTCTTGCTCCTCCACACTCGTGTCTTGGTCTTCAAAGTTGCTTTTGGGAAGGGGAAAGTGATGGGAGTCACCAGTGCAACCTTCTTGTTCATCCTCACCACGGGAGCTCTCCGGGGTGATTTCTTCTTGCTCCACACGGTTGTCATTGATCACTCTTTCAACCTCCTCGTTCTCTTCCAATAATGAGAGGCGATAGCTAGTACAAGCTTGTGCCACCTTCTCTTCTAGTGTCAAACCGAAAGGAGGGAGGGGTTGGAAATCCGTGTTGGAGCTTGTTCTTGCAAACTTCTCCACGGCAAGCTCCAACTTGGACTTCGCTTCGGGTTGTGGGAGATCCAAGTTCGAGCACCCTTCATCGGTTCCTCGAAAAAACCGCTCCACCATGAGCTCCAATTGGCTCTTTGGCTCCGGTTGTGGAGTGTCACATGGTCTTCAAGATTGTCCCATGAAAGCTTCCATTGCCAACTCCAACTTGGATTTCTCCACGGGTTGTGGAGGGAAATATTCTTGATATGGGGAAGCCTCTTCATACCCCCAATGGTATGGTTGTTCTTCTTGGAAGGGGGGTTGGTAATAGAACCCGGATCATTGGCTTCCCCCTTCTTGTTCACTCCATGAAGCTCCGGGGTACCCCCATTCGGGTGGTTGTGGATACCCCCACCTACTGTAGAAGTCATTGGGATTCATGATTCATAACCTACACAAACAAAAACACAAAAAAAATCAAACAAACACAAACCACCCTTCAAGACGAAGAGTGGGTAAACAAAACACAACAAAAAACACAAACAAAAAGGCAAGATTTAAATGGCTAGAGTAACACTAAGCGACCTTTTCTGGATAACGGACCGTGATGTTCCCCAGCAACGGTGTCAAAAACTTGACTCACACAAAACTACACCACGAATTAATCCAGATTAGAATCCAAGTTTTGAAACTCTAGCCAGGTGCAGTATAGGGCAAGTATTTAAATTGTCAATCCGGGCCGATCCATGTACCCCTACTTCAATCGCTTAGGTTGTTGTCTAGCAAACAACTTTTGGGTTTAGAGCTAATGAAACTACAAACTAAACAAGCAAAGAAAAGTAAATAAAGGAAAATTCTAACTAAGGGAGCTTCACCCAGGAGTTGCTTCCCCCTAACTAGCTACCATGACTCGCTGGATTGAAACAATTGCTATGGGCAAGGTAACCGCGAACCGCAGAGGGAAGCATATATGGTCGTAGACCACAATCTCAATTGCTAAACTGAGGTGAACATTATGGTCGTGTCACTCAGCCCTCTCAGTTTAGGAAATCGGTGGTTGACTTACTCCCTCACTCAACTCAAGGGTCGGACGGTTTAATCGTGCTTAACCAATTGGCTTAACTCAACATTGAGGTTTGCCCTAAATTAACCTAGTTAGGTGGCTTAAAAAGCTAAAGGAAAACCAACTCGATTGAGTCTCCCTTGGAAGGGGGATTTTCCTCTCTAAGCTAGGTTAAAGTGGCTAATTAGATTGCAAAACACCAACATGCACAAACCTAAGGATGCTAAGCACAACACATGCAAAATCCTTAGGTTGCTAAGCACAAGCATGCACAATCAACATGAATAATACCTCAATCATTGGATTAAACAATACCCATAAATAATCATTCAATCTAAGCAAGTAATTACAAAGTATTAGTTAGGGATCTACAACACCCAAGAGAAAAGAGTGAGTTTCTAGAGAGAGAGGGGGGGATTACAAATTTGAGCTCAAGATCTTCTTCTTCTTCTAGGCTTGAATCTCCACCCAAGCCTCCAATGATGCTCCAAGAACACTCTAGCACTCTCTCTCTCTCACTAGAACTCCCCTTTGGTGTTTTTGGGCAAATCCTAGAGAAAGAAACCAATTCTTCTCCAAAAACCAGCTCTCTTTTCTCTCTCCACGCTGTTGTTTTCATATTTGCCCGAAAGCGATCAGTTCACGGACGCGTTGGCCAGTTCACGGCTGTGAACACCTAAACGCGTCTGTGAACTCAGTCGTCTCCAAAACGCACCGCCTTGCTTCCAAGGTTCACGGTCAATGGCCACAGTTCACAGTCTTAGAGACCGTGAACTGCCTTGTCGTCAGTAACTTCAGGAACCTCGCTCGACGCCTCGGTGTTCACGGTTTGTGGTCGAAGTTCACGGTCTTAGGAGACCGTGAACTGCCTCGTCCGGCCGTGAACTGCGACTGTTTCCTGGGACGCCTTCACTTCACTGTTACGAGGCAATTGTCACGGACTTCGAACTTTTCTTCAATTTTTGCACTTTTTGACTTCCTGTTATCCCAAAATTCGACCACGACCCTTCCAC